AAAGAAACCACAATGTTACAGAGCCCTTTCATCATCTAGCATACGGTACTGTAGAACACAAAAATATGCACTGTGCTACTTTAATTCATATTTGCAAGAGAGACAGTCTGTGTGACTATGTGCAATTCTGAAATGTAACTTTTTTTTTTCCTCTTGACTTTTTTAGCTGCCTCACCCCTTTTATTTGAACACATACATATGGTGTGTGAGAGTGAGCAAGCTCTCTGTAAATGTTTGGAAGGAGCATCTGTCAGACAATAAAACTTGCAAGAAAACATGCTTCTCATTTAAAGCGTATTCACTAGAACTATTCCAGTGTTGGAATCAGTTCATTTGTATGGCTTGGAGGCATTAATAAGAGCAGAGAACTGTAAAGGCACCAGAAAGCTCAAACTGTTACTAAGAATCCAAGGTATTTTTTAAAGCATTTCGTCTATTTGGCATCACAGTCCTCTGATAGGAACCTGAAGCAGTTGACAGACAGGAAACATCTGATAGTCCATTCAGAAAAGATTGCAAACAAGAAGATGTCCTGCTTTTTGCAAACCTGGAAAGTCTAAAGAGTACAATAATTGCTGGACCAAAGGGACCCTCTTCAGGCATAAATAGCAAGACTCCTACTGTCTTCTCTTGCAGACCAACTCAGCTGCCAGCAAAAGCAGGTGCTCTCCCCCTACCAGTGCTCCAGAGGAAATAATTTAGTGAGTATTCACAGCTCTTTTTACAAATTAATATATTATGAGCATTTTAGTTATATTTGTATAGTTTTCTCAAAGGACAAAGGCATTTAAAAATAAGTTTTTAAGGCTGTTATTTTAAATAATTGCAGGAGTTGAACAGTCTGACGCAATTACCATATTAATTTAAAAGCAAAATTTACACAGCCTATGACAGCAACTTTCAAAAGATATTGTTTTTTTTAACAGCTGTGTAGTTTAATCTGAAGAAATTACAATGTATTTTTTAATGCACAAGTTATGACAGCAAAGTAATCTATATAAATATGAAATGTATTTGACTTTAAATGTTATGCCATAAAACAGCCTTTGTAGAACACAAATTTTAAATAAATCATTTCTTTTGGCAAAGTAACCTGCAATTTAATCTCTAAAAGAATAAATATACCACTAATGTTTTCCACAGAAAGAGTTGCTACTCTAATTAATTCAAGATGTGTCTCTAATAAGATTTCAAAAGAAAATCAGAAACAGATTTTTCTCAGAGGTAGTACTGTGGACAAGTTAAGAGATTTTTATTTTCATTAGAAACATTTGTCCCAGGTAGAGTTACAGATTTGTACTATATAGCATGGAAATACCAAATCTGAAAGCATTATAATAATATTATTAGAAGCATAGCAATTTTTAGTGTTTCAGATGTATACTTTCTTTTTGGTTATAACTTACAGTATGTTACATTTTATTAAGTAACTGTTATTCAGTTCTGAGTTTAGAGTGACTAATATGGCTAACTTTTTTTTTTTTTTTCTTTTTCTGTGGAGGGGAATGGAAAACCTGATGTTTGTCTGCTGCTCCTGTAAAGTTATCTGGACTTTACTTGTAACAATCCTAGGCTATGCCAGCAGCTTGCCTGTGAGTGATGATTCTATTTGCACAGCAGAGGAACTTGCTAAGTACAGCATAATCTTCACAGGGAAATGGAGTCAGACTGCCTTCCCTAAGCAGTACCCACTTTACAGGCCCCCAGCACAGTGGTCATCCATGCTAGGTAAGTGAAGTATTTATAGTTTTAAGAACAGATAAATCTCTTGACCTCTGTGATCTTTTTTCTTCTTCATAGTCACATTTAAGATAGTTAATGAAAATGGAAAAAAAAATAGCCAAGGCTATGAAGAATGAAATGTAGGAATTGAAGTATCCAGAATATTTTCAAAAAGCTGCAAATGTTTTCAATTGACTTCTGTTTTCAGTTGGCTGCAGCTGAAATAAGCAGTGATAAGCCAAATGTTTTAGTGTTCACTCATTTTGATGCATTTTTTTTTAACCTTAGAAATAAAACAGAAATTGAAGAAGGGCAATTTAAACCAGACTTTTATGTCATGCCATGTATTCACTCAAATAGGTGTTACTCATAGTTCTGACTACAGCATGTGGAAAAAAAATGAATATGCCAGCAATGGTGTGCGTGATTTTGCTGAAAAGGGTGAAGCATGGGTATTGATGAAAGAAATAGAAGAAGCTGGAGAGAAAATTCAGAGTGTACATGGAATCTTCTCGGCTCCTGCTATTTCCAGTGGCACAGGACAAACCTCTACTGAATTAGAAGTGCATCCAAGACATCCCTTAGTAAGTAAAAGTACATACTAATTGAAAAAGCTTGTTTTATGTCACTGGGACCCAAAATTAAATGTTTGAGTCTGTACTTGTAGGAATAACATAATGCCAAGAGTCACTAAAAATGATGTCACATTGCAAAGAGCACTGTACAGGTTCTATACAGCAGAAGAGCATAAAGGCATTTCTTTCAAATGTTTTCAGTTAAAATTACTATAAACATGACTGGAACATTTCAAAAGAAATGATGCAATCCTGACAGATCATTTTGTTCCATTAGGTTTCGTTTGTTGTGCGGATTGTCCCAAGCCCTGACTGGTTTGTGGGTATTGACAGCCTAAATCTCTGTGAAGGAGACCACTGGATGGAAGAAGTATCAGTAGATTTATTTCCATACGATGCTGGAACTGATAGTGGTTTCACATTTTCCTCCCCAAACTTTGCCACTATTCCCCAGGACACAGTTACAGAGGTAGGTGTATATGCACAGCTTAGCACTTCATAGCTATGTGTTTTGAGCCCTCCCTTTAAAAGATAACTATTCTATGACTACACCACAGACACTTGTGAAGGTGCTTTCAGTATTTGAGAGTGCTGGTTCTTGCAATATATGGATTTATTACATAGCTGATAATCCTACTGCTTTTGTTTATTTTCTCTACCTTTCAAATTTATTAGGCAAGAGTAGATGGTTCATAAAAATGTGGGTCTACATTTAAGTATTTTCTGTAAAGGCTCACTAGATGTTTTTTAACAATTCTTAAGACACCATGGAAATAAAAACATTCACAGAAGTTCTGGCATTACTAATTATGTATCTAAACAGGAAAATTCTTAATAATGAATAATGATGTGGGGAGGAGTTTTCTCTTATAAGCATTGCTGAAATCTGAAACTGTTACATTTGAGGGGCTGGAGCTTCATCACTACTACAGTGACCTCACTTCCCACATCTTTTGCTCACATGACACCCTATATGCCTCATACTTTTGTCATTTATGGATGGTGGTGAACAAACGATTTTGGTTGAAATGTTTTGAGCACTAAAAACATTCTGTTCATCTTTTCTTTATGGTCAGGTTTTGTACAGCCAAATGCTGTGCTAATGAGTAAAGAGAAAAGGAACAGAAGAGCTGGAAAAGAATACATTTGGCCTCCTACATCCATATGACAGCCGCTGTAGCATACCTAAAATTATTTAACACTTTTGTATTCTTCCACATCTTCCTGTCAAACCATTCCACCCATTACTGTTTTCAGTACCTCCCACCACAGTCCTCTGTACAAAGGTTGGCACAATTCATTATCCCCAGTCTCAAAGCATTAAACATAAAATTTCTGGGATTATCAGTAGGAGTTGTGTGAACTGATGTTCATAGAAACTGTATAATGTATATGCATTTTGTTTGCCAGAAAATATTAGCATGATGTGTAAACATGCTTTTATGGTTATCTTCTTACTAATACGTTGTAGTTTCTTTAAGGTTCCCCTTCTTATTTTACAGATCACTTGTTCCTCCCCAAGTCACCCAGCAAACTCATTTTATTACCCCAAACTCAAATTTTTGCCACCTATTGCTCAAGTAACTTTGATGAAAATAAAGAAAAGCCAGCCAGGACTTCCTCCACCTTATATTGCTGTTCCAGCTAAAACCAATGAAATAATAGACTCCGTCTCAGGTAAGTGATAAGTATTTTGATATGGTCGATTCTGTATTGCCATTCACTCAGGAAATATGTGGAAGTCTGGCTGGTGATACGGATGAAATAGGTGATTAGGCACAATATTGTCCTGTCTGCATAGGAGAAGTTTCCAGACTCACACATGGGGAATAAAACAAGGCAGTTGACATAAAAGAGAATCCCTGAGAGAACACAGGAAGAATCATGTATATGAGTTGTGGTACTAAGGTTTGGGTTTTATCCACAGTAAGGGCTACTCAAGCTTTAGTATGAGCATAGATCAGTGACTTTTATGAGAAATAAATGCCACTTGATAAGGATCAGACTTCCAAATTCTTCACAGCTTTGAAGTAAATATTCAACCTTAAGTTTTCACGTGATGATGGAGGAAAAGAACTATTATCGTTGTCTCTTTCCGGGTCAGACTTCTTGATAGTTGTGTGCAATAAGAACTGATTTGGGCATGTTTGTGATAGAAACATATGCTGACAACAAAAATAATGGGTTTTTGTTTTTTTTTTTTCATTACAAATAATAGTTAATAATCTGATTTAGGTAGGAGACATGCACACTACTTACTCTAGTCAGTCTTAAGGATAATTTGCATCAAATCTCCAAATTAACAAATATAGAATTAACATAATATTTGCTCTAAGGAAAAGATAGCAGTTTGACAGTGTCCACAGAGATTTTCTTTACACTTTTCTAGTGAGTTTTTACAAAGTCTAAGAGGAATGGTTAAGAATTAAAAGACTGACATCCTAAGTACTATTTGTGAGACAGCAATAGTCTAAATCCCCAATGTATTCATGGAAGAGCTACCATATTCCTAGAGCTTCTTCAGAATCTCTGCAGAACAGTTTCCTCTAGCTCTGTGGTCAAGTCCCCACAATCACTAAAATAAGGCTCATTCACTACACAGCTGATAATGAATGATTGAAACAATAATAAATGCATTTATCTGTCAATTTATAGTGCTTTAATGTATTTCTGTTAGTAAACAAGACATATTTGCAGTGAGTGCTACATATCTGATTTTCAGTCATGTGTCTTTCCTACAACATTTGAAAGGAATATTTAGCCCTCTTTTAGGATACATATTTAAAGGGTGGTATTAAAAAAAAAAATAAAAAAAATTAATCATATATTCCCACTATTGTACATTAACCAGTAAATCAGTCTATTTAAAAGCATTCCCAAACAAAAAGGAGAGAGGTAATTACCAGAGATCAAACTCTCCCTCATTCCTATATTTCTAGAGGGAATGAAGGATCACAACAGAAGGGGTGAGCTCCACTGTAATACAGAAAATTTTATCAGAGGTCACATATATAGTATGGTATTTAAAGCTGGTTTTGTGCACACCTGTGTTACCCACAAATGCTGTAATACACAGTTTTGATGCAATTTCCTGTGACAAGCAGTATTCTTATTTAATCAGCTAAGGAATAGTCACCTGTATATTTATGAGAGAGATTTTCCAATGGGAGTATACATTATGAAAAGTACTGTAGAGTTTCTGACTTCTCTTCTTGCAGTAAATTAGAACTATATTGAACCCTTTTAGTATTAAAAAACTTTTAGCAATAAAAAGCATCTAGTGGCAAAAAAACACTTTTGGCAAAGGGAACTGTAATGTACATTCCAAACAATTGTAAGATGATGTAATCATTTAAAAAACGCCACTTCTGAAACAAAATGGAACAACAGGGAACTGGAATTAAATATGAACAACTGTAGGAACAATATCTATCTGCAAAGAAATATATATATATACACCTAAATACACCAGAGAAATGCTTTAATCCCAGTGTTTTTGTTAAGCCATGTGAAGGCAAATGAGTTATAAAAATGACTGTAATTTTTTTAATGCAATACTTTGAATTCAATTATTTTAGGCATAGTATTTTTTGATAGGAACTCCATATTTTCAATTCAATAGGTAATATGCTGCACTGATGATCCAATACTTTACACAGTCTCCAGACTGCAATAATAATAATATTAGTGTTAATGAGTTTAGGAGCTGAAAAATCAACATTTTTATTTATGAGACAACACATGGATTTTATTAATATCACATGCATTTTTGTATAAAAAAGGACACTATTTAACCACCATTCTTTAATGCTTTACCAGTTATATACATGCCTTAACCCTGAGTTTATGTCAAGTTACCTTTTTATTGTGCATTTTGCAGAAACACCACTGGACTGTGAGGTTTCACAATGGTCTTCCTGGGGTCTCTGCAGAGGTGTCTGCAGAAAAACAGGGACCAAGATCAGAACCCGATTTGTATTACTTCAGCCTGCAAATAATGGAATGCCTTGTCCGAATCTGGATGAAGAAACAGGATGTGAACCAGAGAATTGTGTCTGAAATAAAGAAAAGAGAATAATTTAGATTATTTAAAAGTAGGCTATGTTTAACTAAATCTAAGCTACACGTCAGCCAATGTTCCTTATAAATCAGATATGCTGCACTATTTTGCTGAAAAGGTGTATTAGGCTGGTTTTGAAACCTGTTGTTTAATACCAGGATTTTGGGGGTTTAAATTCCTGAGGTTTAGTATGACAACTGGACTCGATCATTGACAAACCAAAAAACCCCAAATAAATCCTTGCTATAAATATACTGTAAGTTCTTGGAGTACCCTCTAGTGGCAGAAAAGGAGACATTTGGAAATGTCATACTTCACACATGTAAAAATCTTTCAACCACAAAATCTAAACTAATAATGGTCTTAAATATTGTAATTTGTTGATTTAAAGCTATTTATACCTAGAAGTTAATTTTTTTCTCTAAATTATGTTTTTATAATTTATTAGCATTTTTGTCATCTTTCTAAACATGTTTAACATGCATTTATTCAGAAACTACTTACATAAATCAGTGATCAGGTGTTTGCAGTATGGTTAAAACAGTAGTATAACTGAGTAAACTTATCTTGAGACTTATGAATACATGAAAATGTCTTTTTCTGTCTTTCTGAAAAGTGAGAAGAATATCTGTCATGAGGACACTCAGCAAAACAAGTTGCTAGAAAAAACGCAGAAGCGTGGATACTAGTATAAAACCTCTTAAATTAATTAGATGTGTTAGCTGAGATTTAAAACCTGACTCACTGTTGATGTGTGACCCTCAAAGTGACACACAAACTCATGTGTGACTATGTCAAAGTTAACACTGCTAACCATAATGTAAATGATATCTTTGTCTTTATATATGCAGTAAATGTGTCCATATTACTTTATATGTGTTGGCTGCTGTTTGTCATCCTAAAGGTTTAATTGATAAGGTTTCTTTATGTTTTAATATTATCTAAAACTGAGGTATACACAGATAGAAGAAAACAGTGTCAGAAAGAGTTCCTCACTGCACGTTGTAATATAATAGCTCAGATAATAGCTATGAAACTAATGTAATGTATGGCTTATAAACAGCTGTGGATACCAACTAAAGAAAAAAATTCAGAATAACACTGTTCAATACAACATGTTTGCAGTCAGCTCCCAAAACTTCTACAGCACACTCTTACAGCACAGATATTGAACAGGAGAGCTGATTTCAGTACGTTATTTTTGGAATGTGCCCAATATCAGAAAATTTATTATGGAATTAAATGAGCACACTGTATTCTCTGTAGGGCCGGAACATGAAAAATGTTCTCTCATTTTTTTTTTTTTTTCCAGGACATAAATCTTACAAAGACACTAAGAAATTTGAAATTTTATCAGACTATCAGTTGGTCCTGCAAATACTGATAAATGTGCAGTGGTTAGAACCCAGCAGAGGATTTTCTACATCTTGCATTCTTCAGATTCCCACTGCTTGTTTTTCAAAACTGTTTCATTTGCTCTTTTTATTATACCTATTGTTTTCAGGTTCACTTTTTCTCATTCTAGAGTGAAAATAGTGTTAGTACACTATCATATTTTGTGTTTAATTTCTCCACCTTTTCAATTTTTTTTCCTTCTTTTTATATCAGTTTTTACCCATTCTATATTTTCTTCTTTGATAAACTTGTTTACTATATAGTTGCACAGTTATTACCATCTCAGAAAACATAACCTTATATTGAAGTATATATTTAAATATTCTATGAGGACAGGAACTAATTTCAAATGGTGGATCAATGAATGATAAACTAAATTCAATAAAGTTAAAATTAGATGCAAGTTTAAATTATGACTTAGGGAAAACATACCTACAAAACACAAGGTATCCTTGAAATTTTCCTGGAAGTTCTCTAAACACTACTGTTTTGCTTCACTTGCCCAGAACAACTAAGGTCTAGGTCCAGTAGAAAAGTATCTTCCACTGTAATTGTATACATGACCCAAATCTAGGATTTCAGTCCTACAAGACAGATTTGATAGTGGAGCAGCCCCAGTGCTCGCTCAAACTCCTGAAGCCATAAGATCCCCAAAGGAAACTGAAGGAGAAGGGATGAAAGGGGGAGATGGACTAGAAAGGTAAGTGAATATGTAGAAGGCAAATAACCTTCAGGACACTCCAGTTAGTGATAAATAATTTTTCTATTTGAGTGTTTACACACATGAATATTCACTGTGGGTCCTTCAAGCAGAAGTTTCCTACCTTTTTTTTTTTTGAAGCAGTGATTTCAGGAGACCTTGGTAAATACGGGATTCTTTAAGGATGCCCTTGTGGCCATATAATGTTTAGCCTTAAGTATAGTTCCAGGAACTCACTCACTTTGCAAACACCAAGGATGGAGACATTTCTTGGCAAGACTGTGGATACAGGGACTTCTAGTGAAGCACGTCCTAATGATGGAGCACATTTCTCATAGCATACCTTTATTAAGCTGATTACTGAGGCGCATGATCCCTGTGTGGCTGTCACTAGGCCTTCATAGTTTTTACTTTTAGCACACTCTTGGATTTGTCTTAAAAATTTTGGGACGCTTAAGAGACACAGAGAAGGTTTTCCTTTTCTTCCTTTTCTCTTAAATCCAGTGTTACAGATGGCTGGCAGTCAACATGCTGTGGTCCTATGAGTTTCAGGGAAGGAAATAGGTAAATTAATTTCTGGATTAAACTAATCTCAGAAGATGCTTTAGAAGGAAAGTTGAATTTGTAAAGACAATTTTTATTTTATTTTATTTTATTTTTTAGCAAGGATGCTTTGTAGGAGGAATCAGCTTTGATGCTTTGGCAGATATTCCTGCAGAATGGAAGACACAGTTAAAGGTAAGTGTAGCAGCAAAAACCAATCACCACAGGCTTAACTGTAGTCCTACAAAAATTAACACCAAATACAATTTCCGTAGTGGAATAGGATACCTCATTACTGAAAAGAACTTGTCCAGTACCTTAAGGAATTTAAACACACGTAGTTGTGAACACATGAAAGCTGTTCCTATTGCCTCTTCTGTAAATGTTGGCTGTGTGAGCTGTAGGTGGACTAAAGGAGAGTGCAGACACTCTGTTCTACCAAATACAGTCACTCAAACTATTCCATGACAATATTTAACATGCATAGAAAATAAATGTAACACCTAATACAGCAATTCTGAACTCATCTGAATCCTGTTTAATGGGAAGTAGTACATAGAAGTGGTGTCTGTGATAATTTGCAGGTACCGTGAAAGATGCAGATTAATAAGCTCTCAATATGCAGCATGACAACCTCATCTCCTGGAGGCTGACTTATATTTCTTTGTTTGAAGTCCAGGAGCCCTACTATGTCAGCATTTGCTAGCCAAAAGTACACAAGTAATATGTCTGTCCTAACTGGTCTGGGCAGAGTGAAGGATAAAGTGGCATCCTCTTGTACATCTTATGTTCTACTATTGGAACAGTGAATTCTGGAAACCTCAATTAGTCAATGCAAAACTACAAGGATGATTGCTTAAGTGGCTCACTATCTGCAGGTGAACCTATACTTACTGCAGGTATAGTATGGCATGAGAATTTATGCCGGTGCACATCAGTCAAGATTTCCCTGTGGTTAAGGGGTAAGAGTCCAATTATATTATGAGATTCTGTATAATCTAAAATTATTTCTGATAGATAAATTTTAAAATAGTAGCGAGGTTCAAATATCACCCTTGAGACTCGTAGGGGTTCAGTAGCCATGAGGTGCAATTTATATCCCTCTGTCCCCAGCCACATGAAGTCAAAGAATAAGAAGGAATGTTTAAGGAATGAAGTCTCCACATCTGACAATCTCTATCAGTATGAGTATGTTGTATTCTGTAGGTGAAGTAATTCTTGTGCTAGAACTTCTGTGAAGGTACTTCATGCTGTGAAATGGGGTGAACTGATGAAGGTTGTAAGCCTGTGCCAGGGCTAGACAAAGACTTTTTTTAATGACACAACTTCACAGAGAGCAGGTATATTGAAGGGTAATAAACATGAATCAGTCCTTTTGCAGAGGTGAAATAATCCAGCAGGAACTACCATCTTGATATCTTGGATATTTGGGTTACAGATACTGAGAATGAGTTGCTGCCCACCCATCTTCCTTGATATTAGGAAAATAAGTGTTCTTGTGCTAAGGTGAAGCCAATTCTACAGATATTAGTGCTACCAGTATTCATCTCTTGCCAAAGTAGCTTCTCAGAAGGGCCGCTCAGAAATGGGTAGGAAACCAACATAGTTTTATTTCCTAGTATAAGTATAACCAAATAACAATAAATGCAAATGGGACATTTAATGAGGCAATTGAAAGAAAAATCCAGAGGAAGTGTGAGAACAATATGAGAAAGGGCTAGTCATGATCCTTTGGTGTTTGGCATAGCGTTGAGAATACAGCTTACAGACTCATAGAATGTTTTGGGTTGGAAGGGAACTTTAAAGGTCGCCTAGTCCAACCCCCTTGCAGTGAGCAGGGTCTTCAACTAGAACAGATTGCTCTGAGCCCTGTTCAACCTTATCTTGAAGTTTTCCAGGGATGGGGCTTCTACCACCTCTCTGGGCAACCTGTGCTAGTGTTTTGCCACCCTCACTGTAAAAAATTTTTTCCTTATATCTGTTCTAAATCTACCTGTTTTAGTTTGAAACCATTACCCTCTCACAACAGGTCCTGCTAAAGAGATTGTCCCCATCTTTTTTATGCAGCTAGGCATTTGACAGCTATATAAAAACAAAATACAAAACAAAATCCAGCTTCCACTTTTTCAGGCAAATTAAAGGCTGGTAAAATTCCAGCAAGGAAGTGTTGTTTTCCCTGTCTTTGGCACTGCATAGCACATGTACAGCATGGGTTTGTGCAGTACAAGTTGTTTATGTCCCATACCCTGAAGTGAAGATGGCAGAACCCTGAAGTGAACTGAGAGATTCGTAAAAGACACATTCAAGGGCATCTCTAAACAGTTTTATCTGCAAATGCCAGGTGCTGCTGAGGAGCATGGCAGAGCTGGGGAGAGTCAGTGATCAAACCCCAGAGCAAGCAACAGGTGAGCAGTGAGCTTCTGAAGGGGAAAATGAGATCAAAGATAGGTCTTCCCTGCTGGAAAATGACCATGTACTTTCTCACATTGGGACCAGCCTTTCAGACATAGTTTATAGGATGAAACACTTGAGTGGTAAATGAGTTCATCATCAGACATAAAGATTGATCTATATTAGTACAAAGAGTAAAAATAAAAACCTCAGTCATTGTTTGACTTACACTTTGACTTCCTGTAGAGAAGTTTTTATTATG